TTCACATGATTATTTTGACTATCGTGTCCATATATAACTCAAGAAGTTTGAATGCGTATCGAAGTTGAGGTATAGGTTCTAAGAGTTGTTTAAAGAATAACAAGGTTCAAAAGTAGTAAAGTTCTGGCATTGGGCAGTTTAAAGAACTCACAAAGTGCCTAGAATCTCCTAAACAACTAGACACAGCTCGATATTCCCTCTCAACTCAAAAGACGTATAATTTACAAAGGAAAGCAAAGTATCATACGATAACTCTAACTAATATTTGCATAATTTGCAGTTCACAAGATGGAATTTAATCCTAAGAGACACAACTAGTCCTTCGGATCGAGAGCTGAATTTCCAGCCACGTATCTTCCAAGATTTCCATCTAATTTATCAGCTTAACAACCTAAGTCAACCTACAATCCCCTAACACTGAAACCAAGTCATAACTTTCAAAATGCAGCAACCTTTTCAATAAGTTCCAGTTCTAAACCCCCAAATTCAGCTTCATTCCCTTGGTCAAGCTAATAGCCCTGTAGTTTGATCAATTCAGCCCCATTGGTCGAATTTTACCAAGGAAAACCTAACATGCAACACTAAGTACAGATGGTACTAAGGACATAACGGGAGTTTCTTAGCTTAAATTTTCAGAAAATCCGCAAGAAAGGTAAAAAAAATAAGCTTTCTTTTCTTTCGGCCAAGGCTGGAATTTCCAACAAGAAACCAGTGAGAAAACAACAAGAACTCAGCTATAAAACTCACATGCATCACCCTAACAACATGAGACAAGGCATAAAGCATGGATTTCAGTTATGATCTAGCAAAATTTCTAAGAAAATTAGATGAATATGGTGGTAGGAATTATGGTTTCAAACCAAATTAGATGAATATGCAATTATGAGTGATGTAAAATTTGGTTTTCAAATGCAAGGCATGTTAAAAATTTTTCTACAAAATGTGAGACACTTTTGTGCAATTTCCCCATTTTTAACAACTATAGAAATATTCCATTTAAGTTACTAGTTTCATGAAAGGGATATGTTTTTGTTTAACTTCCCAATTTAGTATTAGTGGTTTAAAAAGGTAGAAAAATTTGCCAGTGATATTCCTATGTTTTTGTTCTTAGGAAATCATATTATGTTTATTTGTACCACCGACAAAGATCCTCATTGGTGCATGCTTATCGACTAAAATTGTGATTTTTCGGCAATGAGTTCAAATTGGGTAGTAGATTATTTGGAAAGTTAGTTGGAATAATTATTAGAGCACTTTTTATGATGTGATGTATGTGAAATAAAAAGGTGATTAAAAAGATAAAAATATGTGTTGGAAAATGTGTTTCTAATGCAAATAAATAATTTTTGAACAAATAATTACTATCCAAACACACCCATAATATTTCTCAACGTCGCAATGCTGGTATCGTCAATGAGATACCTTGCACATGAAAATCAGCGGTTATGACTCAATTTGAAACAAATAAGCTTATGGTAATCAATACATTGTCAGCATGATGAATAATATTCGTGAAATGTGCCACCGGTAAGTTATCAGTGAGAGACTATCGACCATATAGTGTCTGCAAATATCAATCCTAATTATAGGTTGAAGTAATTGTACAAGTGGTTGTATGGCCTTGCAGTCAGGGGCGTCAATTGAGTTTTCTAAATCGGATTTTGACAAGTTTAGGCTTGGCTTACAAATTATACGGGTTTTCGAGTTTCAAACTCAAATTAAAAGGTTCAAATTCAACTCATCCTATCATATTAGTTTCGGGCTCAAATCGAGTTTGATTCGAGCTCATAATTAAATAAATAATTATATATAATATATTTTTTTTAATTATGAATTACTATAAATTTATATATAAATTATTAACATTTCATATCATAATATATAATTATATATTATAGATATTATTATATATATAATTATATCATATATGGGTCGGATTTTAATCGGGTCTAAACCTAGCATGATCTAAACTCAGCTAATATTTGGTTTGGACCTAATATTTAGACCCAAACTCTATTTGGACCAACTAAAGCTCAGACTAAACAAGGTTTTTTTCGAACCGAATGGATCGAGATTGGACCGATCCGACCCTGTTGAAGAAAGCAACAAAAAGCATTAAAATAAAGAATAAGGGGAAGATTCTCAACCGGTTGAAGAAAAGACACGAGAAAATGAAATCATCAAAAAAAAAAAAGAAAAGAAAAGAAAAGATGCAGGGGAGGCAGAAGAAGGCTGGAAACCTCCGAGTCCCGTTTGATGAGGCTGCAGGCAGGAGAAGGAATTGTCTATTAAATATAAAACTTTTCTAATATTGTGTTTTGACCCTCTATTTTTTGAACAATCATATCCCAAACTTCTTTTATAATTACTCTATGCAACTTTAACTTTTGTGTGTTTTTACATAAAAAGCTCAATTTTGTTGAAGAATTGTCGTGTTAAAAAGTTTTTTTTTTATATAATGTAAGTGAGAAGGTGTGAATCCGAAACTCTTTATTTATACTCACTCTTGCCGAACCACTTAACTCATCTCTCCTTTTCCTCCCCTAATTAAAAAGATTTAGGCTCATTAATGTCCATTTGAGCTTTAAGTTCAAGAATTGGCCCCCAATTGTTTCAAATAGTTATATATTAGACCACAAACACTTTTCAAATGATATTTCTAGCCTATAATTTTACGATTTTTTTGAAAGAATTCTTCATATTAGTTATAAACTCACCAAAAATGTCATGTTAATGAGTAATTTTATACATAATTTTTATTTTATAAATAATTAAAATATATTTATGACATCATTATGATATCATCCGATTGGATCTCGAGTTAAGCGAACCCATTAACCTAACAGAAAAAACTCAAAAATAGTTTGCTAAAAATGCTCTCTTAAATTTGCTTAGAATATTTTGAATTAAATTTAGGGTTTCCCAATCAACAATTGTTTCTTTTAGTTCTCAAATTTAGTTATCATTTCTAATCATCACTTTACTTTTTTTTAAGCAATCATAAGCTCAATTTATTTATTTTTTGTTCAAGCGGATATCACTTAATTCATTCTTTAGTTATGACAAGTTCACGATCCTAAATCCTTGAGGTCACAAAGGCAGTGAAACAACAATTCCATTATTAGTGAAATCAGGAAGTTCTACAATCTTTACTTTTCTTAGTTCCCATTCTAACACTTTTACATTTATCAACAGCACAACACTCAGCGCTTTACAATTAATCTTTAAGTTGGATATATTCAATATTAGTTTTGGTTCATAAGCTGCTAGAAAATAAATTGAGCAATGTCAAAATGAATTGCAATAGAATAAAATTCAGTCACGGGAGCATAAATTTATTCGATCAATAGTTTAAAATTAATTTATGACTACGAGAAAATTACTTATAATTATACACACTGTACCCCAATTTGTATATAATCTACTAGCTATGTATGCAAAAAAAAAATGTTTATTTTACCAAAAATTAATCAAGCAACGCAATTAAATTAGAAATCTGTCATGTAATAATTATGAGTACCATTTCTTAGAAATTTATTCTTCCAAATTGATTTACAAGATAAGAAAACTCGAGTACTTTCAAACTATTCAATTACCGGCCTAAATTAATTCATGGCTACGAGGAAAGCGCTCGTAGCTCTTGAAAAAGCACTGGACTATATGAGCAAACCATTATATAAATAGTTTGCATACGTGTCATGCATCAAATCTATGCATATAAATATTTTATAATTATTATATTACTTAAAAACCTTTATTATTATAAAAAATTATATATTTTATCACTCGAGTGCATATAAATATTTTATAATTATTATATTACTTAAAAACCTTTATTATTATAAAAAATTATATATTTTATCACTCGAGTTCGAGCTCGATCTCAAATTTCTTCTCGAGTGATAAAACATATAATGCAGTTTTTTTTAAAGCCCAATGTGGGCACTTTTTTTTTTTAATAAATAAATGTGAGGCACTTATTAATGTAGCTTCGGGGTCCACATTGGGTTAATCCAAATTAAATCTGAATATTTACTACGTCTAGTCTAACGGGTTAGTCCATTCCGATAAAACTACAATTACCACATCTAATCACATACACCTTGGTTTTTATTTTTTAACATGGCTTAAATATTATGAAATTATCTTCATCCGCTAATCTTAATTGTGGGGATTTAGTAGAGTTGAGTCTAAGATTCTGTTTGATAATTCAATTTAGCATCTAAACTTAAAGGATTCAAATTTTAACATGTTTAGACGCGTTTGATAACTAAAAAGTGAACATCTGAATTAATCAAATGATACTGAATTTTTTAGGCAAAATTTGCTCCAAAAAATAAGTGATAAGTTATTCACCTATCATTGAATGTGATATAAATTCCAATGTATTAGATTTTGTGCTAAACAATTGAATAATTTAATGGATTCAAATTTTACATTTCAAATTTTAGTTTTCAATTTCATCAATTTTATCGAACACGCCTAATTTAGTCCAAACATAGCTCATCTTTTAAAATCGAATCCAAAAGCAATATTAAACTCGGCCGTTTCCAAGCTGAGTGTGTGGTCAACGCGGCGACACATTGATCAAACACGATCACTAATTTAGGTCCACTTTTTGTTTGCTTTAAGGTACAAACGAATCGAACCGCTCGCGAACCGCAACTCGACTCGAGTTCGGTCAAACTCGAGCGGCTCGTTTAGTAAGCGAGTCAAACTCGAGCCAGATGAGATTAAGCTTGTTAGCTCGTCGAGCGGCTCGACGAGCCACGTGAAATTACAAAAATACCTCTATTTGTATAACTAATTACTAGTTGGAACTTGGAATTCAAGCGTCAGAGGGCCGAGGTTCAGAGTCTTCAGACTTCAGAGCAAAAGTTGTTTCCCCGAATTGTGAATTGCATTTCTAATTGCTTCTCCCGCTGTCCCGCATCTCTCTTTCGTCTTTCCTTCACAATTTCTCAAACAAACCCTAGCCACCGCCGCCACGAGTGCACCACAGCCACCACCGCCACCGCCACCCTTCAGCCACCGCCACCACAGCCACCACCGCCTCGTTGTAAAGTTAATCGTCTGCAATCGTCTGCAATTACTGTTGATATTTGCAATTTGATATATCTTTTTCCTTTCCAGCTCTGTTTCTATGTGTACCTCTCAAATGCTTGCTAACATCTGCTTGTTAACTTAATGTGTCCTCGTTCAACTCATCATGTTGTGCATCCTTTTTTTTCCCTATTTTCTGTAATGACTTGCTATGTCACTGCACATGTTTATTTGCCAATAGAAAGAAATAATCCAAGCGTACACTATCTTCTCCTTTCCCAGATATTACAACTGCAGCAATTCAGTTCATAAATTAGACTAGGATGATATTATACATAAGAATTTAGCTGGAATTAGACAATATGGAAATATAGAATTAACATCGAATAGTGGAGCAGCAACGATGAGATGATGAGAGTATACAAGTGTCAACAATGCTATCTTTCCAAATGTTCGTAGACTCTGCTGACATCCTAATAGTAGCCTCATATCCAGCCTTGAGATTATAATAACACTTGCTATCAATGTCCGTAAGCATCATTTCAGAGGTGTCCATCTGACTTTGAGGATCAGTTTTTCAATTTTTTAACTACTAACATAGTTTTTGGCTAGATTTCTTTTTCTGAGAAGTTTCCAATGAATATAGATACTTTGTTTTCTCTCTAAACATAGAAATAGACTAAAAAACAACAGGTTCCCTAGTATATTTTTCGAGTTTGTTGCATGGTTTCTTTGCCTTGGTTGTTAAAACTAAAAGTTATGCGTGCTTATGTACATTGAAATCATGTACTTTACTTTTCTTTAGTTAGAAAATGTGTGCTGTGTTCTCTTGATATCCGTCTTCTTTTCAGTCTGATGGCGGGCCAAAAAATTGTAGTAACTCAAATTGATCATCACTTCTCATACCAGTAGTAGCAACAAATTGGTCCTAAAATTAATTTCTGAGGGGTGTAAGTGTGGAATTAAAAGTTCTTGGCGGAAACCTAATTTGGAAATTGAAGTGTGCATGGTTTTTTTAGCTTCAATTGTTAGCTTTTCGAGCCGTGTCCATCTCATTTCTTGTCAAGATGATGATGATATCAGTTAATTTTTACCTAGTTTTTACTCGTTTATATTTCTATGGACCAGAAGAATTGGTAGATTGCAGTGAGCATTTAGTTGACAACAAGGATACTAGTTTATTAGATAAATCAAGTATATTTTAATTTGGCTGCTTGTTTGAACAGAATGAATCTTGAATTGTGTTGCCATTGGAGATTTGGTATCCTGAGTTTCATAAATAGGTTGTCCAGTTGGTCATTCTGCAAACTTTGCTATCTCTTCAGCCTCTTTTTTTTTTTTGCAATTTTCTAGGTCAGTCGATTGTAAGTGTCAGAAAGCAGGGATGGACAGTCACAAGGTTGAAGATAAAGAGGTGAATTTCTCTCCTACATGCTTAATCAAGACTAGTGACATGATAATGAGGTTCCTCAATTTCAGAGGAATCGCTTGCTATTGCACTCTGATGATCTATCTGTCAATTATTTTGCAAAAGTGCAAAATGGATTTTGACATTACTTTTCTGCAACTGCCTTACAGTTCTCTATCATGAGGAAGATCTCAACTCTTCTTTTTTAGTTCTTTTGCATTCTAATTTTATTTTACTTCTGCGTCCATGCTTGGTTGTCATCTATCATGTTTCTAGTCATTTACATGGTCTAGACAAGCTTGTAACAATCTTGGCACGCTTAAGGATTGTCAAAAAGTTTGTCCACTCCTAGGGCTTTGTATTGAAGGCTTGTGACTTTATTTTTTAGCTATTTTTGTCATTTCCTACAGTCCTAGATTAGTTTTACTTCCAAAAATTTTCCATGTGTAAGTTTTCCTGGATATTAATGTTCTGGAAGGTTTGGGAAGCTCTTTCCAATCTTGAGCTCTTTTCTGGGAAATATGTGAAACCCGGAGATCCTGATGAGACAAGTTTGCCACCAGAACAGTCCATCTTTACTCCATCAGTTTCCAAACTTCTTTCATTTACACAGGCAGATATTGTATTACCTTCCTCTTTGTTATCCACACACATATGGAATCACTAGAAAATGCTAACACACAGCCTCCTCATATTAACACAGCTAGAATTTCGTCCAGAAGATTCAAGTCACTTCGAAAAGTATGGAGTTTCAGCAGCATCTGTGGAAGCAGAACCTTGTGTCGTGGATATTAAAAGTTCAAACAATAAAAGATGGAGTAGCCACAACTTTCCATGGGCAAAGGGGCTAGAGGTGGGCAAACCTATATATTCTTGCTTCTGAACTATGAGCCATGCACTTAATTGCATCTGACGTCAGGAATTCAGCGGAAGATTATTTGGCAATTTTTCTTTGGAACCGGAGCAAAGAGAAGTGATCAATGCAACTATGAGTGGACGCGATGTTTTTGCAGATGTGTCAGCTATAGACGGACGTGAAGTGACATATCAGGTAAAAGAATTTATTCTGTTTTAACCCACTCATTTTTGTTACTAATATTATACTGGCATAAAACCAGGAGGTGGGATTGATAATATCCGGCTAAGCTGACTTAGTGCGTCAGAATAAGTTCACCAATCCAATTCTTCATTTCAGTTATATGGGCATATTTTCAAGTGTTTTCATTCCTGTGTTCAATAAATTTTTTGGACTGACCCTTATTGTACCTAATTTTGTATACTAAATTTTATGTATTTAGATTTAACACTAACCTAAGATGTTTTCCTTTGAAAGACTAATATATTTCCTGACCACATAATTTGTTGTTGAAGTTGTACTACTGTTTATGGGATTGCGAAGAAACAATAAACATTCCTGGTCGTCTTTTGTGTCATTTGGAACTAGTGATGTGTTCTTTAAACTCTGATTAGACAAGTAATTCTGCTTTCTGTCAGGTCCCTGCTCTTTTATGTCCTGCGATGACTTTGGTTGTTGTCCCACCTCTTCTCATTCCTTTGAGCATGGGTAGTTCATTGGGATTTGAGCTCAATTGCCACCTCTAGTATAAAATACATGGACAGAAAGAAATAAACTTTTCTATTAACAATTCAAACCTTCAAATTCTTTGTTGTTATTACAAGGAGATCAAAATGGCTAAAATTGAACTTATGCAATCGTTGCTAGATTATTTCTTATCAATGGAAAAGAATTCAGCTTTATTTTGGTAGAGTTGCAGCAATTGTCCTAAAAAGGAACTAGAGAAATTAATTGCATTTTCTCATTGACATCCTTGGGCTAATTAGAATGGTTTTAGGCATTTCATATATAGATACACAACATAGCACAACATAGCACATGAGTTGGAATCTGAATACAGATTATAATACAAAAAAAAAAATTTAAAGAGACAAAAATAAAAGTTAATGACAATTTTGAAGGGCAATCCAAGTGTAAAGTTCTACACAAGATTGCTAATGGTTAGACTTAACAATGGATGAAACGTGGTCTCAATTTTTAAAACCTATTAAAATTTTCAATAATTACATGAAAAATCACGTTCAGGGAATTTGCTTTTTACTAATACAGTATGTAAACGTATTAATGTGCTTCACTATGCAGGATGACACATTCAAATGGTGTAAAATCATATAAATCGGACGTAATCTTGAATTTGTCAACTCATATAATTAAATTTACATGAAATTCAAGATTACACAATAACTAAACGTATTAATAATTATACGAACCGGTTTGAATCGGACAGTTTTCCAACTTGTGAGGTCTGTGATCCGACGACGTATTCTCTATGGGAATATTTTGGACCCTCGCGTCTGCAGCCTGACCAATTTTATCAAAGTATAGGGCTCCTTTTCTCTGGTGTCATTAGAGCCACAATTACAAGTTAATAGTTAAAACAAATGAAAAAACAACTACAAACCAATGCCAGCGACAGCAATGAAGAGGCAAACACTCAGAGATGCAAGTGGTAGAATGAAATAAAAGAGTAAAGAATAAACACAAAAGTGACCAATGAAAGCAGACTTTAACTTCTTGAATGCCCAGTTGATAACACAAGACATGGAAAGAATTTCTCAGTATTTTTCACACAGACAAGGATTAGGAGGAAGTTGCTGAAACTCTTTTCAGTAACAGAAATGGCCCAAACACCAGAATGTTAACAGAAATGTCCTAATGCCTTTGGCACACTTCAAAATAGCATTGTTGCAGAAACAAATTCATTATACAATATCAAAAAGGAGTCTAGGTGACATAGCACCATGTGCACAACATTGCAAGTGTCAAACGCTCGTTCGAGACACAGTACTCCACAATATACTCAAACAGTGATAAACAGCATCCATGTTCTAGGGTTTTAGGCACAGCCAACTGCATGGCCCATCGCAGTTGCTAAATGTCAGTTTCCAAATGCTATGAAAGTTTCTGTAGTTGTGCTTCTTGTTTTTTCCCCTGGAAAGGATACAAATGAAATCAACATACATAGTTTCTCTATAAATACTAATACTTCTGAATTAAGGCAATAGATTATGATGCACTAGCATACTAGCAAAGTAGAACACATAAAAATTGTGAGTTCCACATCCTTCATATTGAGATACAACTATCAAGAATATCTACCTCCAATGTATCTAAATCCTGTAGAAGATCAGCAGCAGAAGGCCGTTTCAATGGATCTGTCCGAAGTAGCTTCAAGATCAGGGGCTTGACAGTTTCATCCATCTTATACTTTTCGCAAATTTCGCAAACTTGCCTGGGCGATGCCGAATCTTTCAACCTTTGGATCGCAGTATCTCCCCGGGGACCAAACAGCTGGAATAGAATCAACCCCAAGGCATACATGTCCACCTTGTTGGTGATGCACACCCCCTTTTCCATTTCAGGTGCACGGTAGAGATCCGCACCAACTGGTGCCAACTTTGTGGTCGAACTGACATCCTTATGCAGAGCTGTAAATAGGAAAAATTGGTTAGTCAACCAACTCATTGCCCAGGTACAATTTTGTAAAGCACCAAATTTTATTTAAATGAACCTGATCCAAAGTCCCCAATTTTCACTGTTCCTCTGTCGCCTATGAAAATATTATTCGGCTTCAAGTCTCGATGAATAATATCTTTGCCGTGTATGAACTATAAAGCCTCCAAAATCTGCCAACATTAAAGTTAAGAATCCACCAATGGTATGTCTGTCAAATATTAATCTTTCTGTCTTTACTCTATATTATGGTACTCTACCTAATATCTTCATTGAAAATTCTTATTACTCATAGGGAAGAAAATCTATGGGTCTATCTGGCTCAATGGAGCTGACTGAACAACAGAGGATTCTGGGGGAGCTTGTGAAAGAAAGTAGTGAATGCAAGCTGCTATATGTCACCGCTGGCACAATTACCAAGTGTGTAGTCATATTTCTTTTTGACTGTGTGCTTTACTAGATGCATTCACTCTGAAATTGGGAAAACAGATGGAAGTTGGAAAGGAAATTATCCTGCAACCACTTTGTTGTCTTGAGTTTGTATTTTAAGTTGGATAATTTTTTAGGAAGTACTACTATGAGCTGTTTGTCTTATTGACCTCAATGCTGTTGGAAAGACAACTTAATAGTTTGTGAACTGTGTACCTTCACCTTTCTGCAAATTGATCTGTTCATTCTGGAGTTTGGGAAAAAGTCAGAAAGTTGGTTTGCCAACATTTTTAAATGCTGTATGCTGTATGGTTTTCCTTTTCTAACCATATGTTTCTTTTCGAATGCAATTAACTTGCTACTAGACAAGTAATGTATTAATCTGAGGAATGAGTTCCCTCACAGGAGATGCTGCACTAATTTTCCACGAGGAAAGATCTAAAGCACCATGAAGCAAATGTTGGAGACCTCTTATTATGTCTTGCAAAACCTATTTCTCTAACTCTCTGATAAAAAATCAATCCAAGCACAAAAGATCAGTTCCCTCCTATTCTTCCCATTCCTTTCCCTCCCATATCAATAATTCATGTTTGAGGCTTTTAGAGTCTTTGATTACAGGAATTCTTATTGGCCGTATTTCCTTTTGTTCTTCAGGAATGATAATTTAACCTGCTAGACAAATTAATTATACTGTGAAGCCGGCATAATCAAAGTGACGGCCTTTCCTTTTTCTATTGATCCATTTGTATTATGATCAATAAAAGCTTTGCAAAAAATCTTTTTTCTGATAGCGATATTATTGCATATTGAGTGACCAACCTTAAGGTTTGCTTGTGAAGTAGGGTCTTATTATGTCGTGGAGTTGGTGATTTTTTTATACAAGTTTCTTTTACCTCCTGGAGCCCTTTGTTATGATTACGGTACTACTATTGGACATTAAGGGAAGTTCCTATGTTGTTTACCATTGAGTTATCATGTTGTATGGGTGGATATGATGCATTGGACAAAAATATCGAACTCTCACATTCATTTTTCAATTATTAATGTGACTGGTAAACCTTGTAATGCTTGCTCCCCACCAGTTATGGGATATCCATTGTTATCTGGTTTGAAAATTTGAGAGGGGCCACTTTCAAGAGGTTGCTAAATGTACTAATACAATTCGTGCATGATTGTAGAAGAAAGCTACTTCTGAAACACTTGGAAACTCTATATGATCGTGGATTGCTTGCTAGAATTGTCATTGAATAGCTGAATTTGTATGCGAAAGATATAAGATGCCAGATTATCAGGTTGCCTTTCACAGTGTTTTCATTTCTGTTACATCAGTTAAAGTTCTTTTAGCGGACACTTAACTTTTTAGAGTGCCTATCCAGGGTCTTGGTATCTTGAAAAAGAAGTTTCCAAGGGTACCTCTTGTGGCCTTGGCTACTATCGTGCCAGACAGTGTCAGAGATGAGGCAGTCGACATTTTGGGTCTTGTGAACTGCATTCATTTTAACCGGAGGCTTATACACTTGAGGTATCCCGTTGCTTTGCAATTTTTTTTTCAGATACTCTGTTAACAAAGAAGTGTGTGGATGAAATTGAGTCCTTCATAAAGGACTTATTTACTGTCTTTTGAGAATGGATTGTGAAAGAATTTCTGAAAGTTTATCCATCTAATGTATATGTCTGAGTTCAGGATGGACTAAATTCAAGAGTTCTGTTAGTTTATCCAATGTACATGTCAAGCGCTTGAATTTTTTGGTTGACAAACCAGTATGGAATCACAAGCACTAAGTATCATTAGATCTTTGTTGTTTTAGCTGACTTACAAACTAAACAATATCTATCATGTTTTAATTCAACTAAAGATGGAACAATTTCCAAATGGGTGTTTGAATAAATTTTGTGGTAGAAGACACCAAGATGGATTTATAGTTTCCTATACATATCTAAATACAGAATGATTTATTGACTGATCCACAAGCTTACTTAGGTAATTGATAAGGTTTTGGCGGCTATACTGAACGTGGTGAGGAAGACATTCGGATTTGGTGTAAGTCTCGAATCATGAGCTGCAGTTTTATTCTGAGCAAATTATTCGGATGGCCGCTGAACTTTTGGAATCGTCGAGTTTTGGTCACTAAACTCTTAAAAGTTTGGTGTTTTGGTACTGAACTATCTAAAATTTAGATTTCGAGTCATTCCGTCAGATTTAGTCGTTAATTATACCCCTTTCTTTCGTCTCGTGAATCATGCGAGCACTCAAATCTGTCATGTTTAACGATTAAATCAATGGAATGACCTGAAATCTAAACTTTAAATAGTTCAGTAATCGAAACCAGACTTTTAATAAGTCAATGGTCAAAACTCAACCATTCCAAAAATTTAGTTACCATCCAGATAATTTGCTCGTTTTTATTCTTGGTTTTCATAGGTTGTAATAATATTCTCGTAATTTGTACACAAGAAATTCCTATAATGGTGGGGCACATATTTTACCCAAGATATGATCGGGACTATATTGAAATTGAGAAATTAGGTACTTCTACTTAAATCTTTTTGTAAGTTTTAAATGGACTTCTGTATTTTTTTAATTTTAGCAACAGTTAAATGCAGGACAGGGTAGCTTTGGAAGCGTGTTTGAATGCAAGGTCAAACTTGATAACAGGCCTTGTGCTATTAAGAAGATACGTTCTGCCAAATCAGAAGAAGAAGATCAAAGTCTAATTAATGAAGTCAGAATGCTCAGTCTCGCACAACATCCAAATGTTGTGGGCTATCATCAGGTTATTTAATTTTTGTCATACTTTCTAGTTTTTACGACAAATACCAAATAATATCCAACCTTATGTAATTTTCTCTTGAAATGCATTGTTTGCTGCTTTACTTTTTGTTGTCATTCTCATTGTAAATAAGCAGTTAAGAAAATTGTATATTTGTGATTGCTGTGGTTTCAAAAAATGAGTTGGCCATTAAATATGCTATTTTACCCTTTCTGCTTTTTAAGTTTTATATTACAGTAGGGGCGCAAATGAGCCTAATCAAGATGAACACCTTAATGTTCAGGTTTGTTTGATTATTTTAACAAGTTTAAAATTTTGTTTAAGTTTGACTTGTTTATTTGCCGAACCAAGGTTGAACGAGTTTTTTTATCGAATTCAAAAGTTATCAAACATAAAACGCTATTCAAGTTTGGTGTGACTAGTTGGCGAACCAAGTTCGAACGAACTTACTGAACCGAGCTCAATTCAAATATTAAGTAGCTTGGTTCTTTTTTTATTATTATTTTTGTCCTGTACATGCTTTAAAAAATTGTATATGCTACATATTTTTAGTTAAGTTCTTTTTACTTTTAAAAAAAATGGCAATCTAAACTAAGAATTTGTTTTTGAAGGCATGGATTGAAGATTACAGAGAACAAAATCATTTCGAAGCTCACTACTCTGGTTCCTCTTCATATGGCCCGAGGGAGAAGATGATGTATATTCATATGGAACTTTGTAAGGGGTATGTTCTCATTCTTATTGATTCTCAGGTTTTATTTTATTTTTCACTATGAGTTGGATCTTGCATGACAAATACGCACAAAGTGGAAATTAAGCTTTAAATAATGTATAGGTCATTGGAGTCTAAATTAAAGAAGGAGAAGAAGCTACCTAGGCATAAGGCATGGAGTTACTTTCGGCAGATTTTGGAGGCTTTACAGTTCATACACGGCAAAGATATTATTCATCGAGACTTGAAGCCGAATAATATTTTCATAGGCGACAGAGGAACAGTGAAAATTGGGGACTTTGGATTAGATTCATTTAAATAAAATTTGGTGCTTTACAAAATTGTACCTGGGCAATGAGTTGGTTGACTAACCAATTTTTCCTATTTACAACTCTGCATAAGGATGTCAGTTCGACCACAAAGTTGGCACCAGTTGGTGCGGATCTCTACCGTGCACCTGAAATGGAAAAGGGGGTGTGCATCACCAACAAAGTGGACATGTATGCCTTGGGGTTGATTCTATTCCAGCTGTTTGGTCCCCAGGGAGATACTGCGATCCAAAGGTTGAAAGATTCGGCATCGCCCAGGCAAGTTTGCGAAATTTGCGAAAAGTATAAGATGGATGAAACTGCCAAGCCCCTGATCTTGAAGCTACTTCGGATAGATCCATTGAAACGGCCTTCTGCTGCTGATCTTCTACAGGATTTAGATACATTGGAGGTAGATATTCTTGATAGTTGTGTCTCAATATGAAGGATGTGGAACTCACAATTTTTATGTGTTCTACTTTGCTAGTATGCTAGTGCATCATAATCTATTGCCTTAATTCAGAAGTATTAGTATTTATAGAGAAATTATGTATGTTGATTTCATTTGTATCCTTTCCAGGGGAAAAAACAAGAAGCACAACTACAGAAACTTTCATAGCATTTGGAAACTGACATTTAGCAACTGCGATGGGCCATGCAGTTGGTTGTGCCTAAAACCCTAGAACATGGATGCTGTTTATAACTGTTTGAGTAGATCGTGGAGTACTGTGTCTCGAACGAGCGTTTGACACTTGCAATGTTGTGCACATGGTGCTATGTCTCCTAGACTCCTTTTTGATATTGTATAATGAATTTGTTTCTGCAACAATGCTATTTTGAAGTGTGCCAAAGGCATTAGGACATTTCTGTTAACATTCTGGTGTTTGGGCCATTTCTGTTACTGAAAAGAGTTTCAGCAACTTCCTCCTAATCCTTGTCTGTGTGAAAAATACTGAGAAATTCTTTCCATGTCTTGTGTTATCAACTGGGCATTCAAGAAGTTAAAGTCTGCTTTCATTGGTCACTTTTGTGTTTATTCTTTACTCTTTTATTTCATTCTACCACTTGCATCTCTGAGTGTTTGCCTCTTCATTGCTGTCGCTGGCATTGGTTTGTAGTTGTTTTTTCATTTGTTTTAACTATTAACTTGCAATTGTGGCTCTGATGACACCAGAGAAAAGGAGCCCTATACTTTGATAAAATTGGTCAGGCTGCAGACGCGAGGGTCCAAAATATTCCCATAGAGAATACGTCGTCGGATCACAGACCTCACAAGTTGGAAAACTGTCCGATTTAAACCGGTTCGTATAATTATTAATACGTTTAGTTATTGTGTAATCTTGAATTTCATGTAAATTTAATTATATGAGTTGACAAATTCAAGATTACGTCCGATTTATATGATTTTACACCATTTGAATGTGTCATCCTGCATAGTGAAGCACATTAATACGTTTACATACTGTATTAGTAAAAAGCAAATTCCCTGAACGTGATTTTTCATGTAATTATTGAAAATTTTAATAGGTTTTAAAAATTGAGACCACGTTTCATCCATTGTTAAGTCTAACCATTAGCAATCTTGTGTAGAACTTTACACTTGGATTGCCCTTCAAAATTGTCATTAACTTTTATTTTTGTCTCTTTTAAAAAATTTTTTTTTTGTATTATAATCTGTATTCAGATTCCAACTCATGTGCTATGTTGTGTATGTTGTGTATCTATATATGAAATGCCTAAAACCATTCTAATTTGCCCAAGGATGTCAATGAGAAAATGCAATTAATTTCTCTAGTTCCTTTTTAGGACAATTGCTGCAACTCTACCAAAATAAAGCTGAATTCTTTTCCATTGATAAGAAATAATCTAGCAACGATTGCATAAGTTCAATTTTAGCCATTTTGATCTCCTTGTAATAACAACAAAGAATTTGAAGGTTTGAATAGTTAATAGAAAAGTTTATTTCTTTCTGTCCATGTACTTTATACTAGAGGTGGCAATTGAGCTCAAATCCCAATAAACTACCCATACTCAAAGGAATTTTGGGCAAGACGAGATCACTAGATTTGATATTGGGTCCTAAATGGGATTAATCCCATAAATACCTAACAAATAATGAGAATACTTGGGTATTACTTAGAACCCATTAGGACGCATCACATACTACAACTACCTTAGATAAAAATTTAGTCCAAAATATACAAAAAAACTAAAATAAGGGGATTTTTACGTAAATAACTCAATATTAATTAGTCTAAAAATTTAAAATAGAAATTTTACATTAATTTTTTTGTGACAAACAATTTCTTACTAAAAAAATTGTAATATGACTTATTTATACATGTTTCTAACTCTATGTAAAGCAAATGCTTTGTTGACAAGTACATGTAACTATTGTATTATTCAAGTGCTAACTAGTTTATATTGAAGAACTAACATTGTACTATCAACTATTAAAAAAAAAAAGGCTTGAATAGTAAATCATATACAAGAATTTAGCTACAATGATTTACAACGTAGTATTTAGAGGTTGCAAAATGTTATCTATTTCAAAAGTTATAAACTTTTTCTCTTAGGCTAGATATATAAGATTAAATAAGAGAAGAGAAGGGGGGTAAGCTATGTGCCAATCGTACATTTTTTTTTTGCCCTTTACTCGACTTCATACTTCTTAGACATTTATATTGCCTTGCACGTGAAACTTTTAGGCAAACACAGATATAATTTAAAATTGGGTAAAATGTGACAAATTGCAAGGCTACATTTAGAAAACCGAATCATCTCCTATTACTTATTACATGATCATTTAAAGCACCAACTCATGATTTTTACTTGTTGTAAAGTGAAGTTCTGAGAATCACGCCTTCACTCCAAAACTTAGGGGATTTTTTTAATGAAACTGCAATTTTCTCGTCCTTTGCTCTAAGCTCTTGTATTGCTCTCTACAGAAAAGAGGGGAAAAAATAAAAGATGGTTCTACCACATAGAAGCAAGAATCCTTTTGTAGATAGCATTTCTTCTAACAAAGAACTGAGCGCCTTTGGAATTCTTTCATACAATTTCGCGCCTTTGCTACACGTACGGCAGAAAAGTGGCGTCAATCCTATTCCCGACTTTTTGCTATTACATGCTAACGGTTTTCGCTGTTTATTGTTTTTTAGCAGTTAAATAATTGCTACAGAAATAAGGGTATTGTTGACAGTTGATCCCCGCCAGTGGTGATATATGGTCCCACAATCACTCCGGGAAAGTTAAGCGAGATTTTGAAAATGCTAGGAGAGTGAAGTGATATTTTATGAAATCCAAGGAGAGGTTTTTGAAATTATCCCTTTTTAATTTTGTTAAAGTTGATTCTATCACATTGACTCTCAAGAACAAGAATTTTCAAAATAAATAATGTGTTTCTTTTGGCGATTGACAAAAAAAAATGAATGTAATGGGTGTTCTCGAAAAAGAAACAAAAGGTTGCAAAAGTTAATTTTGAGCAACTAATGATCAAATAATTTGCATAAATGAGCTTTGGGTATTTTAGTTAATGACCCTAACACTTTGTGGGGATTTATTTCAACATGAAAAAAAGTAGCATACAATGAAAATAGTAGCATAAATTCTACAAAATATTTTGTTCAAAAATTACGATTAAAAATTTGGCACAAAAACATGAGTGTTTGGTGTGTCTTGGATAAATTGAAAAAAAAAATAAAATATTAAATACCAACTAGAATGGGATCAGGTCAGTCCGATCTCGATCGGATAAAAAGGCCAATAAACCTAACATTTTATTGGATTGGGCTGAGTTTGAATCTAAATATTAAATTCAAATTAAATGTGAGTCGAGTCGGAGGTTTTTAACCTAAAATCCTATATAGGCGCAACCCACTAATGTGAACATATATGTGTGTGTGTGTTTGTGTGTGTTTATATATATATATATATATATATATATATATATATATGTGGGTGTATGTATATATGAATAATTCAATACGTAATACATTTATACTTTAGTATATATAGATAATTATATATCCAAACAAATACATAATTACTAAATACTAATACTTGTATGTCAAAATATATTAATATATATTAGAAATATTAAATATAAAAGCTGGATTTTGATAAACTTATACAATGTACAAGTCCTTAAGATTTGTCTTTCAAAAAAAAAAAGATTGTCTTTCATGAGTTAGTTTCTTTTATAATCTTATTAATAAGATATCATTATATAATTGATGATCAGTTGGTTTGTTACGCTATTCTATGATACAATTGGTGATCGGCTGGCTTCTATCTTATACTCCCTCCGTCCCACTTTGATAGTCCTGTTTTCCTTTTTCGTCTGTCCCAAATTATAGTCCACTTTCCAATTGAAGAATGTAGTTGTATTTTAATTTTCCTAAAATACCCTTATTCAATGTAAGTTGTTATTACTATAAAACTACCCCATTTAATGAGAGTTGATTCTTTTTTTACCATCAATTCAAGTTCTCATAAAGTTATCCTTTATTTAATGTGAGGGTATTTTAGGAAAAAAACAATCTAAATTTACTTTTCCAATAAAGTTAACTACTTCTTAAACTGTGTGAAAAAAGAAATGGGACTATCAAAGTGGGACGGAGGGAGTAATAATTTGACACACACAAAGGTTGTTGAAAAATTCTTGATTCATGTACTTTTTAATGAACTGTTACTGGTTCATGTATAGTTTTAATGTTTTTTATATCAAATTAGCTTTACAACCTAGTAATTATAGTAATTATATTAAGGAAATTAAAGATTAATAAGCGAGTTTGGACTAATCTTGAATTAGGCTCAAAACTCTAATGTTTTGTAAGCGAAATACGAGTTTAACATTTATTAACTCGAATCTCATCATCCAAAACCTAAAAGTATGACTAATTAGATGAGTCGAATATGAACTTATTAAAATCCAGTTCAAATAACCCGATTGACAGACCTAACACATTTTTTTTCTTTTGAAGCAACAAACAATAAGCATTTTTGTTCCTTCGTATCCTCAAAAGCATGGAGCGTTTTATTCACTAGAGTAACTAACTACTTAATTGCTAACTGGAGCTTAAATGCCATCGTTTCACTAACAATCATTCTAAAGTTTCAAAAACTACATCGTTCACCAGATTAACTAACCGCTTAATTGCTAATTGTAGCTTAAACGCCACTGTACCACTACCGATCCTTCTAATTGTCAAAAACTACACGCACCAATGCTTTTGTTCTTAACAACTTTTTAACCTTTGTCCTAACCAAGCATATCGCTATCAGGGTAAAAACCTCGCCATCGTGTTCTCTAAGAAATTGAGATTTACTAATTTATCATTGCAAAAAGAATTGAGATTTATTAATTCACAGCTGCAAACAAGAATTCACCGTTATAAAGGCACTTTTTTAAGCAGGTAAGCTCCTCCATCTTTCCTCCGAACTTCTTTGCATGGTTGTTGTCTTACAGCCCCATTGCCGCCTCCTTACCATTGATAGTAGTAGAAGCCGCCGCTTCCTCTTCGTTAGTAGTAGAAGTCGTCCCTTCTCTCTGGTAGCAATAGAAGTCCTCTCTCCTCTCCGTTAGTAGTAGAAGTCCTCTTAGTGTAGAAACTAGTCATTTCTTTCTCATTTCCTGCAGATAATTACTGAATACCACCAACCATGTCTCAGTGTACACGATTCCTGGCCGATCTCCTCGTCCTCGTCATCTTCCTTCTTCACCTGGTGCTCGGGCCATCATAAACACCTAGAAAAATGCGCATTCTCAGCTTTACCATGAGTCTCTTAGTCGTTTTGTCTTTTCCAGGTAGCCTGTATGTCAACCGGGATGCTATTGTTTGTGTCGACTTACCTTGGCTTTTGCAGAGTCCAATCTTGGCGGACTACTCTGATTTATTTGACGACTCAGGCTCACTTTCCTGCTGGGTTTTAGCTACTGATATTTGCAGTCTTTGCTGGTGCTGTATTCTTAGGGTCTAGGTTTGAAAGGCTGAAATTCATCCTTGATGAGATTTGCTTGAT